GGTTTTTTAAAAATCTCAGTAGTAGCACGGAGTCTGGAATTGTGCCCGGTATATGGCAATAGGCTCACCCACTATTACATGGGACTCATAACATAAATAGTGAAAAGTGGGTGTTACATTGTACAGTGCCGTAATGTGCAGCTCTGCCTACCCCTTCGGGGATAAAAGACGTGATGTTATGTTATGTTCTTTGTCTCGATTAAATATATGTAAAGTTTATGAAACCAAATAATTAGCTTACCTGTGTAGCTTCTTTGCATATTTAGTTCAGTTCAGTAGATCGCATTTCTTTCCGTTTCTATATATAGGTAAACGCTATGCAGTTATAAAGGCATTTGATGTTAATATATTTGTAGTACCTATGTATGTATATGTACTTACTTATACATGTATAGTGCGTTTTATATTTCAAAGAGCTTATGATTTATCGCTTGGTGTTCAATTTCATTGAGGGTCCGACTTGCCTTCGAATTTCTGCTTGCTTTTGTTTTTATACTACTATTTATTTATTATACATATTTCATTCTATGTTTTGGACTTTGCACACTTCCTGTTTTTATGTAATTTTACCTGTGATTCCCGTATATCCCCAAGCGGTCACCGGTGTCCGCTCACTAACTACATTATAGACCTTATTTCCAATGTTTAGAGACTACTTTTGTATGAACAAATTTAGGGGATGAATTTCAACAATTTTCAACGGGTTTCATGACCGAAATTCGTAAACATGTGTTCGTATTTTTACTGATCTTTGTTCTCCTTATGTTTTATTTTTGCTTAAAAATCTAGGCGATATGATGATATACCTAATTGTAGTTTTAAACAATATTATGTAAAGTAAATACCAAGCTTTAATTTCTATTATTTGTAAGCAAAAAGACTATTAGTCTAAATCTTTGGAGACTGAAAAAGGATCTGTAAATTATGCTGTATTTATTATTGACACAAAACAGTCAATCACAGATGTCTATTCAAATGTAGATTACTCTTTTGTGGCAGCGAATTGGTCTCAGACTTACCTATTAGCCACATAGGCGACTAGGTACCTATATTTTTTATAGATGTTACATAGATCCTATACGATGATTGAGACAGATTGTCTTATGGTCTCGTTCTAGTGTCTGATACACAACGGACACAATAACAGACTCAGTGCTGTTTGTAACAATTTTGAAGGGAATTCTCCTGTTAGGCAATTCTGTATCTTTCAATTCTAAAGATCGAAGTGAACTCGATCGCGGTTTGCCATATCATTCGTTGTAAGAAATATTTCGACCAATGACGGGCGAGAATGCGATAGAGCTCGCTTTGTAAGTCCGAATTGACAACTTACAGAACATCCTACATGTTTCTGAGGCCTTACTACGAGTTTGTTTTACGCTAGTTTTCGTAACGAGTACGTGTTCGGCGCTCTGGGTACTTACTCTTGAAACCAATCTCAATGTCAATGCAATTTCAATCCAATAAAATCTCAATAATTATTCAATGTCAAAACTATACAACCCCTATCGTAGCTGTTAAAATAGCATTCAGAGTAAGGAATATGAAGCCAAACTCAATACCATTTAGTTCATTCAATATCCACGCAATACGGATGCAATGGGCGCTAGTGTTGGAACTCGAGAGTACGAAATATCACAATTCCAATGTCGATCGATCGGAATTGGATTCAAGAGTAAGCACCCTGATTGGTTGTTTCATTGGCGCCGGCCAATCAGATTGTCAAACGCGTACCCGTTTCGAATACTTTAAACGTGATCCTGGAGCCAGAGTCGGTCGGGTTCAGACATTTTTTATAGTCTGTCTGTCTTGTGCTAGTTTCTATCATTACTTTTACCTGCCTATGTATAAGATACCTGAAAACATGTGCATAATTTTATTTACGTAAATTGTTTACATTTAAACTACGTTTCTAATTACTTAGGTATACAGAATTAGTAAAATAATTAATAATAACTAGAGAGTAGACATTTTGGCGCTAATGTGAATTACTATTGCCAAGTTTGTAATAACCCTGATGTAAATTCTTACGTCTATGGTGCTGTAATAGTTTATTTATATTTCAACTTTTACTGAATGACATGTTGGTTATACATATTTCATTGAAAAATGTTGACGGAAAGGTTTTTTTTAAAGTGTCCCTACTAGGATTTTCTCCTGTGTCGTTGGTGCGTTAAAAAATATTCAAGTTCACATACACAGACACCGAAAACAACAATTTGTGGATCACACAAAGTATTGTTCCGTGCAGGAATCAAACCCGTGTCATGCCGTACGGCAGCTGGTTGCCCAGCCACCGCACCAACCATGCAGTCAAGGTGCCGAAAACATATACTATGTTCAGATTTTTTTTTATGATATAATTCAAGAAGAAAATATACTTTGGTACGTAACATCCGAGCACACTATCTCATCTCCACTATTAGTAGATCCATAACTACTATAGACTATAAAATAGAGAATAAACGAATTCCACGCCATCTACGCTCCATACCTAAATACTTAATGGTTTTTACGTCAACGATAAGTATTAAATATTAATATTAGCCAGCTGGCTAGGTTTACCTACGGTTTGATTGATACTAAGTATTATTGTATTTGAGGTAAAATACATTTTGAATTATTTATTAATTTATTGTGGTTTATTGTAAATTGCTAAAGGTGAAGTGGTAAGGTATGGAAGCCGTATAAGGTACTTTTATTATGACTATACAATATGGCCGAATTGTGGTTACGATACGTATGTGATTAATGCATTGTCTATTTAGTTCATTGTTAAATAACTAGGTACCACAAGTTTCCTTAAAAAGGGAATAGAAATGCACGTTTATATTTATTAAATAAAATTATAGTACCTATTAAATAAAAATAATATTCTACTCGACTTTACAATATTCTGTTTTGTATAGTTAGGTTTATTTTCCTTTTTTTTTAAGTAAGCTGCTAACTTATATACTAATTTGTGTATTTTGTCATTTATAATAGGAAATACCGGCCAAATTAACCCCCAAATTATAGATATCAGTCGCGGAGAACCTAACGGGTTACCGGGGCTCCGGTCCGACGTGCAGGAGAAGGAACGGGGTGGTTTTTAGTCAGTAATAGTCTGATACTCCCTCCCGCCTCACCCAGGCGGGAGCAGTCACTCGATGATTTAACCCCCCTTAAAAAATATAGATATCTCTACGCTTAGTGGAACTATTAGATTTTCCTGTATTCGCATTATCTTATCATCAATAGGTAATATGAAATTATACGGACTACTTTGTGCGTAATCTCCTCTTATTTATTCTACTTTTATCGAACTAGGTAGTTGTATTGTTGATTGCGATAACAAAAGCTAAATAAGCTGAAATTGAGCGCTTAATGTCCAAAAAGATCTAAGTGACTTTAGGCAATGATGGAATATTTATTATTGTCGTGTGTGAAAGAATGTTTCTTTAGCTAAATCATTATTAAGCTTTGTTTAAATGTAGTTTAAGGTGTAAAAAAAGAAGCTAGAGAATAAAGGAAGGCATTCGACTGCATGGTTGGCGCGGTGGCTGGGCAACTGGCTGCTGCATAACGTGTCGCGGGTTCGATTGCCACACGGAACAACTCTGTGTGTGATCCACACATTGTTGTTCCGGGTCTGGGTGTCACGAGTATGTGAATTTGCATGTTTGTAAACGCACCCACGACACGACAAATCTTAGTGTGGGGCAAAGTTTAAAAAAAATTTGGTGAGGTTAAACAGTCTACTTTCAATTTCTAAATCTATCAAGAGTTCAGTTACGTTTTGTTAGTATCTATAAATCAGAATAAACATTCGAACGACATATGACATAGGTAGATGTCGTAAAACTAACTGGTAGACAAGACAAAATATATTTTTATTTTATTGTTTCATACAAGCATCGGTCGTAAACGTTTTCGGTTAGCCACGGCAGTAAATAACGAATTGGTGTACCGAAATGTACACATAAAATGACGTGACGTCAAAACAAGTGGATAGGACGTGTGCAAAGAGGTGAACAGAAGGACCACACATTTGGTGTTTAGCCGAATATGATGAAATTTTTGAATGTTGCTCCATATTATGTAGAAAAGTGCCTATGAAAGCCAGGGTTAAGTATAATTCTGAGATGCCAACCAACAAGTGAACTGATCAAAATTAGGACTAGGTTATATTTAAAACGAGTATACAACAGTCATATTTCTAGTCACAGCAACTCGGAACCCTAAATAAAAACAGAACTGTACTAGCATATTTTGGCCATTTTCAAACGTCACCTTGGTCCCAATAACTTAAAGACATTTTTGCTGAAGGTTGCTCTTGATATGCACTATCTGACCTTACGGATTGGGACTTCTGTATTTCCCAGGCAATGTAACAAGAGCGACGCTGCGTCATACAGTTATCTCTACATCGATCTAATTTTCGTCCAGACCTTATCTTAATGCATTTAATACATTGTTATCCATATTATTTGTATCTTCTTTACTATATAGAGCATATTATGACCGTTTAATAAAGCTAGGCTATTGGTTTTTAGATTAGATGCTTTGTAGATTTTGGTAGCTGGTGTTGGTTTATCTAGACATTGAATTTTCATAGCATATTTGCTATATGCAAATTATATGAAAAATCTAGATATCAGGTCAGCTATCACTAGAGGTAGATATGTCGTATGTTGTGACTTGTGTTTGACGCAAATCCGGCTGATTTTATTAGACCGTGGAGACACTAACATGCTGTGGAAATACCTATCTTTTTAGCCTAGGCGAGAATTTTTGTACTCGTATATCGAAATTATGGACAGTTGATTTTCTAATTGATTTGTAATTAACGAACTTTCTACATTTCACACTTTCTCGTTGACTTTGTCCGCTACAAAGATTAATACAATGTTACCTATGTACCTAATTAGCAGATAACTAATAACTTCACAAATGTGCAGAAGTGTTTTCTTGTAATAATTTCAAATGCTTTTACTTATAAAATTCTTTCTTTGTTCCAGGTGGCCTCGGCACCCGTCACTGGGTGACGTTCATGCTATTCCTTGGCATGGCAAACGCCTACATCATGAGAACAAACATGTCCGTCGCCATTGTAGCTATGGTGAATCACACGGCTTTACCCGTCATCTCAGAGCCGACAGATACTGAATGCGGAGTTCCAATTGGCAATGAGACCCATGTAAGTAGAAAACTGATTTTTACCCCACTGAAACAAGGGTATTGTTTAAGATTTTTATTTAGATAGCGATTAGGATGATAAAGAAGTTGAAATCATCAAAGATTTTGATTATTATTTTTCGCGGATAATGCATTAACAAATAAAGTTCCGCTTAGCAAGTCTGGCGATACTACATATCCAAGTGTCTATTAATCCGAACACTTCAGCCGTCGTTACATTAAAGGCAAAATATTTTACAAAAGCCTTAAGATTTCCAAAGAGGAAAATAGAATCACATTAAATCAAATGTTTGTGAACTTGTAAATAATTCTTAATGATCCAATCAATAAAAGGTAACAAATTACGATGGGAGTGCTCATAAATGTGTCTTTAATATTGTTGCAGGCGTCGACACAAGATGGTTCGTTCGTTTGGAGCTCAACGCTACAAGGTTACATCTTATCCTCATTCTTCTATGGATATGTTATCACACAGATACCCTTCGGAATCTTGTCTAAAAGGTTTGTACCAATTTCTTTATTAGCACAGTTGATGTACTTTAGGTATCGAAGAATGCATTAATGTAGTCTGGCCTGATTTTGAAAATATGACAACCACACAACACTTACTCTGCTTAGTAGCTGACGACTGGACTAATGATAGAGTTTATAGCTGCTATATTTTTCTGCAAGTCATAGGTGTACCCCAAGGGATGACGCTAGGTCCATCTACCCTTAGCAAATGAAATTTATCGTTCAGTTTACACGTTTAGCTGTTTATATAACGTATGTAGGTAAACCCATTAAGCGTATACGTCAGACCATTCATTTCTCCAGTCAAAACATGCAATAAATCTTTTTAAGCGCTTATCTGAGTGGTTAAATAGCGTCATTCATTATATGGCTTTGTCAATGCAATCATTGTGTTTGGAAATTAGTGTTACGTTAAATGACCTTTCTCCGATTTATGCTCGTCTTTTGGGTAACTTCCGCAACTTTTTATGTTTTGTTTATCATAGTTGACAAGGTCTATCATTAATTCGGAAGAATTATAGTCTAAACTACAAAAATCTTTGTAGTCCTTTCGATTTCTTTAACTTCTATGCACGATTTTGTTCAAAGTACGTACCTACTATAGTATAATTATTCTTATTTCACCAGGTTCGGAGCCCGTTACTTCCTGGGTATCGGTATGTTGGTGAACTCAGTGTTCGGTCTCTTGGTGCCGGTCGCTGCTGAAGCTGGCTACGAATGGCTCATCCTGGTCCGATTCATTCAAGGTTTGGGCGAGGTAAGTTTTCATAATTTATATTAGACTCAAGTTTACAAGTGATTTGATCGTATACTTGATCTTAGTACGTTTTATCTCGTGAATTTGAAACTAAGCTAGGGCATGTTTGTTTTAGGGACCGATCGTTCCTTGCACACACGCCATGTTGGCAAAATGGATTCCGCCTAACGAAAGGAGTAGGATGGGAGCCGCCGTATACGCCGGTAACATTTTAAAATCATTTCTTTTTCAACATTGATTCAATAAATTCAACAAAAAGATTTGGATTCAAATATTTACCTTCTTTCTGATACAGGTGCACAATTCGGTACGGTGATCTCTATGCCGCTATCCGGTCTTCTGTCAGCATACGGTTTCTCTGGCGGTTGGCCATCCATCTTCTACGTGTTCGGTCTAATCGGTACTGTCTGGTGCCTTGCTTTCTTGTTCTTCGTCTCCGAAGACCCGGAACAGTGCCCCACCATTAAGGAGGCTGAGAAGAAGTACATCTTGAGCTCGCTATGGGGTGCCGCTGGATCCAGCGTAAGTATTTTGTAATATTACGAAATAAGAATTTGCTTAAGTTGCAAGTAGACTAGTATTATTGGAAACTCGACTCTTTTAGGTGTAGTCAAGTAAATAAATTAGCAAGCAGTTCATTGCATTTTTGAATAAAATTAAAAGATACGAACGAAATTTTATGAAGACACAAATTTTTGTTAAGGTTTATTTAGGCATTTTCGTAACTAATCTTACTATTTCAGTCACCACCAATTCCTTGGAGCAAGATTCTGCTATCAACACCCTTCTGGGCTATCATGTTGGCACACATGGGACAGAACTACGGTTACGAGACCCTCATGACAGAGCTGCCAACCTTCATGAGACAAGTGCTGCACTTCTCTATCAAGGATGTAAGTAGCTTTTGTTTTATTTTACAGAAACAATTGTGGTAGTATGAGGTTATAAGAAACACCTACAGAACAATCCTAAATCCAATGTTATCCTGAATTTCTAACCTATACTCATAAGACAGTGGTTATTTGCTCATGGGATAAGTAAACACTAACCCTGATCTCCGGCCACCGTAAGTGCGGGTCTGCGGACGATGTGCAAGGGTAGCTTGCCGCCCGACCAGATCCAGATGTGTGCGTACGGCATGTCGCATTCCGCGCGAACGTTCTCGGTAGGAACGGGGTGGTTTTTAGTCAGTAAGAGTCTGACACTCCCCCTCGCCTAACCCAAGTCGTGAGAAGATTCCCTCCACAAAAAAAAACCCTAAAGTACCTAACAGTGAGAAGTCATTGGACATTGTACCCTCCTGTATATTCCTGACGCACTAAAAAACACAATTACGAATTCAATAAAGCTATTTTGGAAAGTCCAATGACAGGAGTAAACAACCCATTCAGTTGTTTAGCAATAAAACGAGGACGTAATACAATTTGAATCGTTCAGGACATTAATCATTCGTTACGAGTTGTTGTCGTGGGGTCAAAGGTCCATGTACGGTCAATTGTACCGAGTGACAGGATTGACACCTTACATACGTGATTTATTAGAGTATTTCCTTATGTGATAATTTACTTTGGGACCTTTTTTGCGTGTATTGTTCTTAAGGGATTTTTGTGGGTATATTTTTTGGAATGCTTTTTAGATAGTAATGTAAGTGCTCACAGCTATTAACTTAAAGCAAATATATAGGCACCTTATAAAATTTTGGTAATCTTTAATTTAGGTGATAGGTAGTTCTGTTTTCGTTGGATATTGGAAAGGTCAGTATTTGGCCGGAACTATAGATTAAAGTTTATTGGTCCATGGTCCGTAATGAATTCGATAGTTACGTTTGGGTTTCGAATCGTTTAATGGTGCCTACTTCAGATCCTTATCTCGCTTAGTGGCAACCCTAGTTAGGAAACCAGTTGAATCTGTGGCCCCTGTTCCACTCCGATTGATCCATGGAAATGTACCGAAAGACGAGTGACAACAAAGGATTCCTCGTGCATAATACACATGGCAATTTCTACTTTATTTTATTACGCTATAAAGAACTGAATTGCTTAACCGCAAATAAGTTTTTACGACTTTGCGCGCAGGGAGCCTAATGTCACCTAAGTGGTCTCATTGAACACTGACGAAAATACCGTCTCGTTACTTTGATGGAGATAAACATTCTTTGAAATAGAATTGATGATTGATTGACCTACCTTAGACAAGACTTTGGAGTTTAACCTTTTCTTCCTTAGGGTCAAGTGATTAAAAATGGGGTTGAATTAAATGGAAATGGTATTAATAAACTCAAAAGTGTGTCACCTAAATGTGGACCCGGTTAAGGCTTCATGATAAATTCATATACCTAAACGACTCCAATAAGTCTAATGTTAGCAATTTGGAACATTTAAAACAGAAATTGGAACCGGGCTAGTTAATTTAGAATAACGAATGAATGAATGAATCTATTTTGTAATTTTCTTTTCCAGAACGGCTTCGTATCTGCCCTGCCCTACCTGTGCATGTGGCTGTTCTCCATGTTCATCTCAGTGGTCGCCGACTGGATGTTGTCCAGTGGACGGTTCAACCACACGCAAGTCAGGAAAGTCATCAACAGTATTGGTGAGTTTCATAACACTTTTAAACAATTTTTGTTAGGTTCTAAATAGGAAATAGCTTATTGTGCATCACATCACATTGTGTGTATGTGGATACGACCATCATTGAAGAGTTCCACAAACACGGTTATTCGCTCTTAACTGGTGTTATAGACGCTAAAGAAATATCTAAGTATGCAAGAATCGTAGTGGGTGGGGCTTTGTAATTTACGAGTGACTAAGGCTTGTTTACAGGTCTACATACTATCTACCCATTTCAACTTTAAACTTACCTCAATTGTTTTTGAATCCAGGTCAATATGGTCCGGCCGCTGGTCTGTTCATCGCCGCCAACACTGGTTGCAATCCTGCTGCCACCGTCGCCATCTTGGCTGTCGGTGTCGGTCTCAACGGTGGTATCTACTCCGGTTTCAAGGTAAGGGACTTGCCAACTATTATTTGAAAAAGTTTAGTCACAACAATTTATATACAGACTGACTTACTTATACATATCGAAAATCAGTTCAATAGAGTTGTAGATAATGGACTTTATAGAATGAACATTTTCGTTATTTTCCTTTTCCTTGTATTAACAGGTCAACCACTTGGACATCTCACCGCGTTTCGCCGGTGTCCTGATGGCGTTCACCAACTGCTTGGCCAACTTGACTGGTCTGCTTGCACCTATCGTCGCTGGATACATCATTGAGGGCAGGGTGAGTAATCTCGTTTGTTTGTGAAAGACACATTGAGCAACATTAAAATAAATGAATCCACTGACTTATTTTCTTCTTTCAACAGCCCACTCAAGCGCAATGGAAGAAAGTATTCTACATCGCTGGCGGTGTGTACATCTTCTGCGCCACATTCTACAACGTGTTCGCTTCAGGCAGAAGACAAGACTGGGACAACCCTGCTGATGACGAGGCTAATGCCAAGAAAGCAGCCGATAAGAAAGCCATCAAACAAGAGAAGAAAGCCGCCAAGAATCAGAGTGAAGCGGAAACAGCGCAATAGGAGTTAAAAAGTTGAGAAACAGCAACGAATACAACTGTTTGAAGTTTGACTCAGTATGACTTGCAACACTGTGCCTTACCGTATTTTAACTCAAATAATTAAATACTGACGTAGGGGCGGATACGTTGCAAAACGTAATGTGTCAAATGTTATTTAATTGTTAGCTTAATCGAACGGTCCACGTGTCGATTCTCTTGTAAAAACGTATTTTATATAATGTTTTCCACGCCTTTTAAAATGGCGGTTGTGTTTGTTGGCTACGTTCGATCTAACGCGAGCTCCACGTATTTTTAGGGTGAGACTGTGTAGGTATGTTGGAAACTGTTGTAGTTCTTAATTTTGTTTTAATTGAACTTTAGATATGACTGTTAATGGTTCTGGTTACAAAATGTGGATTAAACTTTTATATTCCGCAGTCTTTACACCTGTCTACTGTGTTTTTATAATACAATGAGACGCACATCAATAGGGCTGTGATAATATCTTGTGTATGTTACACAAAGAGCTCACGTTTGGTCGACTTTTTAACTACCTTTATATTGCTATTTATTTAATTTAGTTTAATTATTACCATACAAGTATTGTTAATAATTATTTTATAGCTTAATGTAGAGAGACGAGTGAAAGAGTGATGTAGAGATTCTGGGGTCCAAATGAAACCTAATGTTACCGTCCTAGCCAGTGAATTTTACATTTTTATATCCTCGCATGTAATAACTAAATAACAGTTTAAACATTAGAGATAGTGAGTGCCATCGATGCATTTGATACAACGTCGCAGACCCTATGACCCTACCCTATTATGTAGTTTAACTGGACAAATTATTTTCACTAATCCATGTCATAGACTATCAGGAATCTATAAACCACGGTTGATCAAAATTTCAGCGTTCTCAATAACTTTCAAGTCAAGATTTGTAGATAATAAAGCTACTCTATGCTTGAGTTTAAAAAATTAAAGTGATCCGCTAGCAGTGTAATTTTGGCGCGAATTCCTTTCAGTCTATGCTTAGAGTTAGTGCCAAATCGGTAAGTGTTGTGAGTTCTGATTTTATAAAAATCATACATTGTTCGCTTAAAGCGGATGTTGTTGCATTAGTTTAGTAATTGTTATTATATTTTCCGTGCAAGATTATCGTAATATTTATGGATTAGTTATATTTCATGTAGCGTTGCAAAGCGCTACACGCCCAGGAGCTTATGTGATCATTCTGTTTTATGTCTAAGGTAACATTAAGCTATAATGTAAACCGCGTACAGATTATTAAATGATTATATTAGAAATTAAATATTTTATTCATATAACTTGTAAGTGGTATACATGAAGTTAGTACGTAAACAAAGGCTTTGAATAAATGATTTTACCATTTTCGTAAAAGTTCCACGTCTTGTCTGTGACAATGTAATGTGCCTTGATTTTAAGAGTACAATATTCAAGGATTCGGTGTGTCAGACACACTGAGTGATGTCCATCAACTGTAATTTCCTTAGGTCGTTTTAATAATCGTTTATAAGTTCTATTGTAATACGACAAATAAAATACAAAATGATTTTTAAAACTACTTTCTTGTTTTTGTTTGTCCTTGATGGGAGTTCATCTGATCCGAAATATTTGGGTCCACTTTCAAAAATAAACTCTTCTTATTAAGTTAATTACTTACAATATCTAAAATAAAGTAATCAAATTAACAGATTCAATTATAATTAGTTTCAATTTATTCTTCTTATTAAAGAGAAATAAGAATGTTGGCTATTCCGAGTATTGGATTTGACTATTTGATTACTACACTATTTCATTGACAATCAATAGTAGTAACAGAAAGTTTGGTATCATGAAAAAAAATTAAGTTTAACAAAAATAAGCATAGTAAACTTTTTGCTATAATAAAATTAAAGAAAACAAAATTAAGGCTGCAGATCAGAAGTTATAAAGCATTTACGGATGGATATTTGTGATTCCCATAATAGGAGAACCATGTTAAAATTACAACAAACATTATAAACAAATATATTTATTTATTTAAAAAAAAAACAATGATTATGTATTACACGATTACAAAATAATAATTTCTTAGCTTATAACTTTACTGAAATGTTGCAAGCTGAAAACGCCAGTACCGTTCTTACAAGGCTGACCCAACATGAGACAACTGGATGCAGACTTTATGTTGTCCTTCTTAGAGTTCAACACGGCTTCTCTCAAGAATATCAGGGACGATTCAAAAGACATTTGTTGTAAGGGCGACGACGATGCTTCCATTCCCTTACGGCTCATAGGTTCGAAGATGCCATTGTACGTCATGTAATCAGCTACCAACGTCAAATGTCTAGGATCCACAGTAATACCGTAAACATTAAACACATTCTGTATTTCTTTTATAATAACTTTGTTAGCAGCCTCAATGCCATACGTGTTCGCAATAGCATGAATGTCGTTACTGTAAAGTTTGTTCAAATCCAACAAATGGTTGTATTTGAACATTTGGAGGATGTTGATTCCTTCAGTTTTGAGGAATAGAACGTTCTTTTCTTTGTTTGTGATCGCTCGTTTGATGTTTTTGACTTCGTGTATGACGGATTTCATCGCAGCTTCGCGGAGAGCTTGTGAGAGATCCACTTTTAGGAAGGAAATTGGGAAAAGTACTGTTAGTTCACACCATTGGTGGTGTTTGGTGTCAAATGAATAGTTTGTAGCTTCTTTCAACGTCGATACTACGTCAGACACGATTTTGCTCGTTTCTGCATCGTTAGTGATAGTTTCATCTACGCCATCTTCTTTAGCTTGCTCGTCGGTCAGCTCTACTTCATCATCCGACTTCTCTTCCTCTTCAGATTCTGGGTCTTCGTATTCTTGCTCTTCTGTCCTCTTCTTTCGAATTTTTGCCTGGAAATTGAAACAATTAATGATTAGTATGACAAGTGTAAAATTTATGTTGTATTTCGCCTAGAAAGAAAGCAAGAATAAACTTACATCAGTATTATCATCATCGTCGTTGGGAGCCTCATCATCTGAACTGTCATCGTTCAAGTTGGCAGCAGGTTCTGGTTCTGGCGCGTCATTCTCCTCATCTTCATCATCACCACCACCTTTAGACCGCTTCTTTTTCTTCTCAGCGGACCAAATGACGCCACTCACAGCCTTCGCTTGTTTCCCTACAGTCGAGAACATCTGTTCGAAGAATTTATTCTGCATATGTTTTATTATTTGCGTAGGTTTTACGGCGTACTGTGTCTTGTATTGAGATTGCGGCAAGAATTGGAAACGCATAGTCGTCTTCAGCTGTCTCTCAGGCTTGATCACAATCTGACATTCCACATCTATCTTCTCTAATACATCAGCTACTGTTACCCTATTCAATTTCTGCCTCAACTTCTCAGCTTTTTTCGTCAAATCAGGTATGTCATCTCTAAATGGTATATCCATATTTGGAGTTTTCAGTTTAGCTGAGGCTGTCATCAGAATTTCTCTAAGACGAGGGATACCCAAAGTCACGTTCATGTCACCACGACCAGCGAAATGGAAAGTGTTCAGTGTCATCTGAGTTGAAGGTTCACCTATAGATTGAGCAGCTAGTAAACCAACAGGCTCGCCAGGAGCAGCCATTGATTCAAGATATTTAGCGCTCATTACCTCCATGAATTTGTCTTTTGCTGTGTTTTCTTCGTATGTGTCGGAATGCCGATTTTTCAAATAGCTTTGCACTAGGTTATCTAACTGTTCATTAATTACACCAAATTTATATTCAGGCGATACTTTACTCGGAATAGGGTCGGGACATTTTTTACGACCATATTGTTGTCTTTCGTCAGCGTCCATAGCACGCCATTTCTTTTCTAATTCCCAATAAAATGGATCTCTAGTTTTATCTGTCGGTAGGTCATCAAGTTCAATTTGTTCTTTTTCAATAGCTGAGAATTGTACAAATCCACTTGTACGGGTTTTATCAAAAGGACTACCATACTTCTTTTTCCATTTCTTCAAAGACTTGTTGGCTTTATTAACGTCTTTTAAGTCTGCGTTTTCTTTAAGTTTATCAATTACAGCTTCGCTAACTACTGCGTTAGCGTTGGCATCAAGGAAGGAAAATTGATCTTTTCTAAGGAATTGGCATTTGAGAACATCTAGTCCATCTTCTCCGTAAGCAAATTGTATGACACTGTCATCAGCATCCCTCACTGTGTGGTCATAGGCAATAGCTAAGCTTTCCAAATGTTTGATAAGACATCTTTGTAAGTAACCAGATCGACTGGTTTTGACAGCAGTATCAATAAGACCTTCACGACCAGCCATACAATGGAAGAAGAACTCTTGAGGTTGTATACCCGTCATGAATCGACCATCTATAAATCCTCCAGCTCTCGGAGATACGTCATGAGGCGGAAAGCTAGGTAGCGATCGACCAGATATCATCAATGGCGGCCTTTTCCCTTCCAACTCGATTTGACCAAGCAAACAGGAAATCTGCATAGTGTTTACAGTTGATCCCTTAGCTCCAGACTGTACCATCAATTGAAGGTTGTTATACGGGAATTTTTCCAGCAGCCCTTCAGATAAACAGGCTGTATTAATGTTGTTAGTGTAGGAATCTAGCAAGTTTTTGTATTGTCGATCTAGATTAGCTCTAAACTTGGGATCCTTTGTGTACATAACTTCAATAGTTTCTTTTAATTTTCCATCATCAACATCGGCTGGTAGGTCAGCGGCCTTAACAGCTGCAGCTTTACCAGCATTTCGAACTAAACAAATTATATCATCGCGCTTCTTATTAGCTTCTTCAACAACTAAAATATCTTTGACTCCGAGAGTAAATCCAATCCATTGCAAATAAAATGTGAAGACTTTAGAAAAAGAACTTAACAAAGCACTTGAGCTATCGCCTCCATACAGCTCGTACATGCAATGAACTAAACCATAAGGTGTTGCACCATAATGAGTCTTATCTAGTACTCCAGAAAGAAGTTCACCCTTCCTTATAATAACTTCAGCTTCTGTCATTGTG